AATTATAATTCTAATAACGAGTTACATTCAGTTCTCAAATTAATCTTTCTGATTAATTTAACACTTAGTCTATTTTTAACTGAAATTCGATTTAACCAAAAAAAAAGCAAAATTCTTTACAAACTTTAAAATAAATTAAGTTTGGATTAAAATAAGTTATATTAAATTATTTTTAGCTAAAAAAAGATAAAATTTCTAAAAGGTATAATCATATAGTTTCTTCCTTACTTTTATCACCAAATACACTAATTTATCGCGATAAATAAGCAGTTAAAAATGAGACAACCGCTTACAACCACTGTAAGCCAATTATTTTCTGAATTGAATTGATCAAACAATGAAGATGCATTCATCTTCACCTTCTATTATAGCTTTTCCCATTAGCAAAAAAAAAGCATCTATCTGATTTGTGTAATGCGCAATTATCCAAATCAACAGCCAAAGCATAACACTTTCAAATTATTCATAATAATTTTCATTCGTTCGAAAACATATTGAAATTTTGTATTGCGCGCAAAATAATTTCTGTACTAAAAAGTTTATCACAGTTTTTTGAATTGATATGGATATAATAATTGGTTTAATCAAGTTACAAAATTTTTCTACTAAATTTTATCATTATTAGCACTACGAACAGCTTCTTCAACAGATGGATAAAAGCAAGTTTTAGGCACCGAACAATAGAAATCGATACGTTTCAGTGTGTCCAGTATTGTTTCTGAAATATAAATGAGCGTCAATATGTTTTTCATAAATCAGATCAATTTTCAATTTTCAAGTATCGATGATTTAGAATTATATATAATCTATCCTATCATGTATGCAATATTGATCAGTCTGAACTTTAATTATCAAAATGAATGATAATATTAAATGTTGATGATAGGAGCTTAAATGTGTGCTCAGAAGAGAAAACAATAACTTATCAGTGGATTGTTCATATCGTTCCATAATTTGCAAATTAATACTATAAGTTCTTTTCATAATTTTATAAGTTGATTATTTGATTTAAAGGAGCAGATTGTTATGATAAATTTTCAACTGCCTTCTTCATAAATTTACTTAGATATTTTACAAAAAATATGAACCTGATACATTCGCGAATAGAACTGTCTTATTCATTTCTCGCCCTTGCAAATAAGCCTTAAAGAAAGTTGAGATGTTATGCTCGATTTTAAGATTTACGAGTAGAATTAACTTAGTATTTCACCGTATATTTTAGAAAAGAATAAAAGAAATGGTTAATAATTGACTGAATAAATATGTGATATTTAATTTGATAGTATCATGAAATTTTGATATAATCAATAATTAAACAAATCCAAATTTTATCTGACATTTTAAAGAATGAAAACCTGATATATCTGTTTTTATCGTTCGATTTCTAAATTCTTCATTCTTCATTCAAAAAATGTAGCATATACTATCTTTAATGATAAAATAGGAAATTTTAAATAGAAAAATGCTTATAATATGAACCTCTTTGATAGCTTCAACACCCATTGTATCAATATTTGATATGGCTGAACAATCGATAATAAGAACTGTTGGAGAAACAATTTCATACAAAGGTTGCTGTTTACTATTATTCGTCATTACCATTTCTTTTTGCAATAACTCTTCGTAGTTCGGCTCTGTCACTGTCTTAGAAGCAGCTATCATTTCATTCTGAAATACTTAATTAGTTAAAAAGTAGATCCTGATTTCATGAAATAAAGTGTAAATGTTCAAACGTATCAAAGACGGGAAACTTTGATATGGAGAATTGATGGAACTGGTAAGATCATATCATTTTTCAAATTCAAAAAAAGTGCTATCAAGTTGAAGAGGTTACTCCAGTACCTTTTCCATTCACATAAGAGAAAGAAAGTATATGATTGTAAGTTATTACTCGTGAAAAAACTTACAAAATAAAATCACTTAATTCAACAAAGTTCTTATTATCTTTTCTATAGCAACACGATAACATTTAAAAATTTTTTTCTAATTAGGCAAGTTGCTCTACTAATTATGTAAGAAATCATATGCAAATGCACTAAATGAATGCTAATGCATATCTTGTATTGCAAACTGCATGCTACTTTCAATTTTATGTATGTTAAAATTTATTCCCCAATGAATAGTTGTCGAAAAAACTAACATTTCTTATATTTTGCAATTTATAATCTTCAGTCGCATCACTTCGCAAAACATCGCTTATTTTATCACGAAAAGTTGAAACAGTGACAAAATTAAGAGGTGCTTCGAAACGAATAATTTCAGTATTTTCATTTACCGATTTTAATCCATGATAATAAATCAAAGGTTTGTAGATTTCACGATGTTCCGTCCTACCCATTACGAATACATTAGGCCTAAAAAAACAAAAAAAAATTGATTATATACAATTTAAATGCATATAATTTACTGCTCTCCACTGTAAAATAAATAAAACTACAAACCACTGCTCTCTAAAGGCCACAGAGATGAGTGTAAAAAGGACTGATATCGTAAGGCCCGTCATTACATCGAAAGATACCGTTGCTATACAACTCACCAACCATACTGCCTGAATAGTAAGCAACTGCTAACTCATTTTAAAAAATTGATGGAGTAAAACTTATAAAAAAAAATGTGATAAACACTAACGAAATCAAGTTTTGAAATTCGCCATAACTTTGACAATTCACCGAACTGCATGAATAGACTTTTCAAACTTACAATCACAATACAAGCCAACACGCACTACAATTTAGTTCAAGCTATTAATTGATCCACACGATATTGTCAGGAATTTCTGCTCAGCAAATTTAGCTCACATTTCAGAGAGACGCCAATAAAGGAAGGAAGGATGATGCTAAGTTAAAATAATCGGACAATAAATTGAATACAATCAATTATTTTGACATCGATAAATTCATAAGAGGACAAAAAAAACTCTCAGAAATAAAAAACAAAATATACCAATAAAACGAACCATTGGGAGCGGTTCAAGAAGCGGTCCAATAAAAGCAATAACAATTAACAATAATGCACTTGAAAATAAAATATTCAGCTGAAATAATTGATAACATGAAGAATGAAAGAATGAAAAAAATTGAAAATATTGAAATGACCTGAGTGTTAGCACCAGATTGTTCGCACACAGTTGATCGTGAAAGTGAACAACCAGCAGGAAAAACCGGGAAAAATGATGATAAGGTATGCATTAAGCCAACTGCGTATAAATCCTAAAATAATATATTATTGATTGATTGATTCAGAAAAAGCAATCCAAAGAGATAAAATTGAAATATTTGACGAAATGTCTACACCTATCATTTCATACACCTTATTTTACACTTTTCAACAATGTTTCTTCTTGAATCTTCAACAAACCAGTTCAATTTAATTTTACATATTTGAAAAATGATAAGATTATCTTTTCCATTACAAGTTATATTTTGAATCATTAATATATACCTGCGTAGGATCAATCTTATAGTGTCTCTTTTTTGCGAACAATTTAGCCATTGATATAACAAACATATATGAAATAATTGCTATTGCAAAAGCATCATTTAAAAGATATGGTATTAGATCAAAGTTCGGTAGTGATGATGTCGGAATTCTATAAATGGAAGAAAATTCTTTAATTTAGTTTACCAAAATGAGTTTTTTTTCTTGATGAAATAAACATATATGAGATAGATTTGATCATTTTAGATTTCTTCAAAAAACAAAAAAGTTTTACTTCAACAAATTGGAGTTTCAGTAAATACATACCCTCGCGGGATATATTCGACAATTTTTACATCATAATTATTTTTCAGATTCATAAATCCAGAAAATATTGTTGCAAAGATAACCTGAAAGTATACAACAAGCAAAAATGTTCAGAACAATTCGCACATTCGTTAGATATATGCACCGATCATTTAATCTCTTAATAATTTTTTAAATGCAGAATAATTTACTATTAGAGTTATGGTAGGATTAGACTTTAGATAGTTCAAAATTTTTTGAAGAAAATAACATTTTGCAATGCTTACTAAAATAAGCTCAATAGGTAGTGGTACAGGTGATTGTTTTTTGAACCACGGATTTATGCAATCACGACCAACAGATAAAAATATAATGGAAGATATTGATATGCCTAAAGTGCAATAATTGGTGTGTGGCAGAGACAATATCAGATCACGCATCATCTATAATTATTTGCCTTCTGAATACATTTCAATGATTAACAAATCAAAACAAAAATGGCATCAATGAGAAACAAAAAAAAAATTGGAAATGAAGTTTTTGTTTTGATAAAATAATATCATCTGCTTCAGCTGACAATGAATATCACTAATATCAGTACTAATTCTTATCTTTATTAATTGCTCTGCCATAAGCTTACTTGACTTAATCATATCAAATAAATAAAGTTTAAGTCGTTTAAACGAAAATTTTGTAATTTAATAGAAAAAAAAATGAATGTTTTCTTAAGACTTACGAAAAATAGCATACCAAAACCGGAATAACGTGATAACTTAATACCGATAATTTTGTTGAGTTGTGCTGTGAAAACATGAAATGCTGATCCAGTTGTGAAACCGGAAATGAGAGCATCCGACATATAATTAGTGAAGAATGCTAAACCCATCCTTGCCATTACTAACTGAAAACTTGCTGTCACTTATTAAGTATATATTTCAGAAGGTGCAGTTGCCACCTTTAAGACATTCATTTAATATAAATCATTCATTTCTGATATGATCATCTTTCGTATGCTATTAAAATTTCTTTAATTTTCAGAAAGAGAAACATTTTCCTATATTTCAATTCTCATGTGAAAATTTTATTGTTAATAAATTGAATAGCAAGCTTTCCATTTCTAAAAATTGTTTGCATTTCCAAATGACAATCTAATTTGAAATTAAATGCATAGAAATTTCAAAAGAAGAAATTAGCTATTAGCAATTTTCAGGAAATTACCTCTACCATTTGTTGAAATTAGAATCTTAGCAAATTACACCGTTATCGATGAACCTTATTTCCCTATTTGAATACAACTAATACAATCTCATGTGATCGACTTGGACAAAGACACATATGTCAATTGTTGTAAGTGAAACTATTTGATGAAGGGAAAATGTCCTCTTATTTGAAGACATAAAAGTACGTCAATAGGTAGTTGAATGTCAACGAGATGTCACCGGAAAAAGGGAATACCCTTTCTCTCTCTCTATCTCTCTCTCTCTATTCATTCGTAAAAATTGGCCGTATCCGGCATCTTTTCACAGTACCTGAAGCAGTGCTACAGCATTCAGAAATTTCGAAATTTATTTATTACACTTATTAGTACCAAATCTCTTAACTGTCCAACTGGTGCACATTTATTCCAAACAGTTATCTAAATGAAGCTCACGATTTCGATCATTCAGTTATTCTATTCAATCAGTTAAATAATTGAAAAGTTATTGGTCAAATCTTTTTTGTTTCTTTCGATTCATTGATTGCTTACTTGAAACATTCCAACAGTCATAGCAAGCGTACTTGTAAGCATAATCGGAGATACTTTATAATCGAAATCCACCGGACCTGCTACTGGTTTTACGATTTCCATGTTAGTACCATTTATCATTTCATCTGCATCCGGTATAAAACGTAATCGCACCGCTCCTACCATCAAACTTGCCACGGCAAAAACACCTATAAAAATTTTTTTCACTCAAAAGAGGCTTACGATGCATCGGAAAAAATTGGAATTGGTAACTTGGTTGAAAACATCACAATGTTAAAGGAGGCGTTAATTTCTTAGTGAATTTAACAATAATGTGTAAATGTGTAATGAAAAATGTCACTTTGTGAAGTTTTGCTATTTTTTCATTTTATCGTCTTTTCATTTTCAAAATTACACATTTTTTCACTTTCAAAAACAAATGAATGAATTAGATCTTTAAAGAAAAAATGACGCTGTTTATTCAAAAATATTCTCTTTCATACAGTGAAAATGCTTCCAAACTCCTGCACAGATAAATGCAAGAAGAGATAACCTAAGCCTAAGGCTTATACAACTACATAAGAAAAAACCTTTAAATATCAACAACGGTTATATTCATTTCAGGATCTTTCTTACTGCGAAATTTATATCGATATTCCCATGCTTTCCTCTGATAAGCAATACAGCAATAATTCAATGAAAATGATGAAAGTATGAAGGAATAATTATACCGATAGAAATGTGTCGCGATGTTCCAAAGAATGCATAAAAAGTTGAGGTGAAAAACGATGTATATATCCCATAAACTGGTGGAAGACTGGCCAAATTCGCGTATGCCATTCCTGAACACTCTCAAATTTATCATTAAAATTATCACTCATAGCAGAGTTATCATCATCATATAGCATAAAATGATCAACTAATTTCTTAGCAAAATGTAGGAAGAATGGAACTGACTGTTTATTAAAAAAGATAATAAACAATTAAATTATGCTGGTTGAATGTTTGATCTGACCTTGAGGGACTTGCATAATACCGACAGTTACGCCTCCGATAATATCGCCAGTTAAATCTCTTTTCCAGTTGTATTTTGGAAGCCAATGAAGTATAGGAAAGAATGATAGGACTGATTTTACGATGTTCCTCAGCAGCAATTTCAATTTCACTTTCTCGATATTGCATAATTTTTTCACTTGCGGCTGTTTACGTGAATATTTTAACTCAAATGTTTCCTAAATTAATCATTCTCAATAGTTCATTTTAATCTTTTTTTACTATTTCCGCGCATTCTGCGGATTCAACAATTAAAAAAATGAACAATGTAATTTTTAGGTAAAAAAAATATTTCTTGCAAAAATCGACCCTTCTTCACTTTCATTCCTCTTTTTTGATCAGCAATATGCCCCAATTGTAATCCTCTCAAATTTCTGACTGTAATTCGGAATGGAGAAGAGCAAAAGTAAATTATCATCGTATTAGCTAATTTTAATGAAGCAAGCTAACGTCACACTGAGCAGCGTAAAAGACTTAATTAAAACTTCATAAATATCCGCTTTTTTAATTGTGTGATACGATCAATAGTGAACAAACTGTTCCAATCGGTGATTATTCATGCTATTATCTTCTCGAAAATGCTAGCATGACTGAAGTAAAACAATGTGATCAGCGTATGATTAGCACAATTCTACAACACTAAACGCTATCATCAATCTCTACAAAACGACAATTGGAAAGTTATCTGTCGCTAATCTAATGTAAGCAATATGCAACAGTTTTTTTTGTGTTCTTTTTTGAACGCAAAGGAAATCACTGATTCAGTCAAACTTTCTTTCCTTCAATTCTTTACGTCTAAGAAACTTAGAAAGGGAATGTGAAAGAGATTGCTAGCAGTGAAGGAATGCATTTCTAAGCATTCCACTCTTTTCAATAATCGATAAAAGTGAGATCTTTCTGCTTGTGAAATAGAAGTTTTATGGCGTGGGTGAAACGCTCAAATATTCTTTCCATAAGCCCCTTACCATCTTCTCTTACTGAATTGAATTAATTAAAAGCATTGCTGATAGACCTTTTCAACAGTTAGTCTGGAAAAATTGTTCAACACAGTCAACAGTTACAATTAATGAAAGCTAAAGCTGTGATTTGCAGGGAACAGCGCCGCACTTTCCTTTATTACATCAACTATTTCGTCAAAATACCACTTCGATCAATGGTAATTGTCTTTGCAAAATACTTCACAGATTTTGAAAAATGAAGTGGAAGGCTGATATTTGTCTCATTAAAGTATACTGGCTAGAGAAGGATGGTAAAGTATCATTTAACTTATCATGGCATCCCTATCATCTGAATGTGTCAAGCCATATGACCTGAATGAACCAAGCTACACCCTATCATCTGAATGTGTCAGGCCATATCACCTGAATGGGCCAGGCTTATGCTCTATTATCTGAATGTGTCAGGCCTCAAGAGTACATAGTAGCACAGATATGGCGAAAATGAATCGATAAAAGTTAATGCATTAATTGTTGTCAAAGTTTTGATGCTTATAAAATGAATTTGAGGTAGCCTATAAAGGAGAATATTTTGAGGTATGAGAAGATCGGTGATTGAGACCCAAGAATTACACATCCGAGAGAAACATATTCTATGGCGAAAGTCGTGAAATACCTGATTCCAGTGACCGAGGAAGAATTTCTGTTCCATACTGATGAGAAGATGCACGAGTGACTTACTGATAAGAACTCGTTGTAACCTGTCTAACACAACTGAACTTATTGTCCATCAAAGCAATCGAATTTAGACAAGCAGTTGAATTACTTTCTCTCTCCTCTCTCTCTCTCTCTCCCCCTTTTCTGAGAGGAATGGAGAAGTGGCTGTAAAAGAATTAATGAAATGAAATACACGGGAAGAGTATTTCACTGATGATTGAAGAATTGAGCAATCGACCGGCGTGGGATGAATGAGACTGTTTGACGGCAACGAAACACGACGGAAACTGTCACAAACCTGATTCATATTCAGTTTAATTCTCACTTCTGATAACTTGTAAACGGATTGACAACAGCGCTTCCTTTCCAACCAACCACTCTTCTTTAGAGCGCATACAATTTCTCTATAATATTTTTGATATTTTTAATCACATGTATGCTTTTCTTCGATAGATAATTTTGGAGAAACAAATGGGAGATAAGATAATGATAAGCACAGCTTACAATTTAACACAGTTAAAGATTTCTCGATATTGCGCATTTGGTTGCAAGTGATTTATCGAAAAAAGGAAAAGAATTAAAAGACATCAGTGCTCCAAATTAACACATGTCAAAATTGAATTTTTTATTGGAGATAGCTATATATTATTGTACATTTGGAGATAAGATAGATAAAATTTGGAAAAATTGGGGATGATTAGAAGAAATACATTTGTCCCATTTGTCTTTGATAAGTCCGCCCAATAAAAAATCGCTATATATGGTAGTAGTTCAATCAATAGCATTTGAAATAGCTAACATAGTCAATTTTTTCCCGTAAATTTTGGAAAAGTGAGAAATTTCAAGGATTTCCGAACAAATGATATATGCTTTTAGCTGGAAGTATGATGAAATTTCTGATTGCAGTTTTGCACAAAACTCTGCATGACCTTTCATTTCTTTATATGTCTGCTCTTTGCAAAGCTGCCAATGGAATTTAAGAAATGAATTTTTAAATGACAATTTTTCAGAAGCAAACACACATTTACTAATATCGATAGGAATACTCGATCGTTGTCTAATTTTTACGAAAAATTTGGCCGATTTTGTCAACTTTTCTCAGCATTATAATTAATTAACTCAAACGGATGAAAGATAATGAAAAGCAAACATCTGCGCCAATTTCTTCTTTTTGAATTATACAACAAAAACAGTGAATGCATTTTGTTAGTTTTGTTGGATTGAATATTTTTTATAACAAAGTCTTTTCAATTATCACTTTTTTCCAACAAACGTTTCATAAATCAGCGCAATGTAAAAAAAGAAGGGAGAAAATTAAAGTAAAAATTGGGCGAATGCTTTATTTCAATGAAACGTTTCTTTTTTTAACCTTTTAACCTCATAACGTTTACAGTGCAATCTCTGCTCTAAAGAGCTTGTGTGATAAATACATCAATATGAAAGACAATAAGTTAAGATGAAGCTGTAACCGCAGTAGAGTAAATGAGATGGCGAATAACAGTATCATCCCGTTATCATTTTCTCTTATTAATTTGATTTATGGAATTATCTTACAAAGGGTTATCATTTAATCATATTATATTCTTAACAATTTTAATTAACTTCAAAACGAGATAATGGTTATTGTCACGTATTATGAATGACCTAACACCATGGAATTATCTTACAGTATCTTCAAATATCATTTTTGTTTCTTTAACATCACTTTTTTTGGATAAATCGTAGGAATATTCATATGCATTATAAGTTTTATAAGGATTTTTGGTGTGTAAGCAAGAAAAAAACATCACAGTGATCGATTGTAATTACAAAATAATTCCTTCAATTACAATTAGCTTTTGTAGAATTTTTTTAAAACAGCAATTCAATTCTATCGTCTCATTACTTATCAGTTTAATTGCCTAATTAACCATATCTATGCCACATAATTATCTAGGCTTTTTGTATGTCCGATAAACGATATTATAATAATGATAGTTCTGATAATGATAATTCAGCTCATTCGTCTCGTTACTTATCAATTTAATTGACTAATTATACCACCAAATATATGTTTGGATTACAAACGAACACAAACAAACAAAGGAATGGAAAATTGAGAAAGTAAAAAAATAAACTATTTGCTATCAATGAATTATATCAGAAACATCTATTTTATAATGATCAATGATAAAATTATTTGTTGTCTATTAATTCAAAAAAAAACTTGTAATTTCCTTCTATGTCTTTGATATGATAGTTTTCTTTAAATTATCGGCAAGTGATATCGTTGAGTAGCTATCGTTTTTTTCTTTTAGCAGAAACTTGACATATTTGTAAATTAAACAAGTAATGAATTTGAAATTAAATTAAAGATAAAGAATGGTAGTATAAATCTGAGATATAAAAATTTCTTTTGTAAAAAGCAATCAAAGGTAGTAGACCTATTTTCAATTATCAATTGAATAGGAAATGACGAAATAGAAAAATAACGAAAGTAGAAGTGTGGATATTGTTGTTCATAACAGAATATCTCTTCCTTCCTCCCTCTCTCCCTTTCTCTCTCTCTTCTCTCTCTTGGAAATGGAGATGTATTGAGATATAAACAAGTGTTTAATTATTTATCACGATATTTAATCTTCTACAATTCTGAACAAAAAAAAAATTTAAATTGCTTTTAATATACTTAACCGTCTTTCTCATTCAAAATATGTATATAACAGTGATACTGTAATAGATATTCTGTTCTCTTTCGTATCACTCTGAATACAATCATAATGATTATCAGTAATGTGAAACTAAAAAACATTTGCTGTTAGGATTTTTAAAAGTTAAATTGCGAATGATGGAAGCATTTAAAATTTATTGGTTAATATTTCTTTTCAGTCGTATCATTAATTTTTACTCATTACAAGTTATATGCATGATAACTTTATCATACTGTACATATCAAAACTTCACTTTCTAATGATAAATCTTTTGCTAAATGTTTAATTCGTTCTTTGCAAATATAAAAAAAAAAGAAAAAAATTTCAAATATCTGCCTTGTAAGATAATGAAATGAAATAGAAAATAAAACATGAAATTCAACTTTTGCAAATATATTGCATGAAGTTTATGGAAAACCCGTATGATATAGCCAATATCAATCAGTAGGAGTGATAAAATGAAGAGATGGTTATGAATATTAACATCAATCAGTGAATTCCCATTATTCCATTTCATTTCAATCATAAAAGGATGGCAATGATTTGAGGAAACAAAAACATTGTAACTGTTTTTTAAAACAATCGCGCCATATGTTGTATTAACATCTTTTATGATCATTTGCAAATAGTGATGATAATGATAATGATAATGATAACGATAATGACCACTCAGATTTATCCGATCATTCTTTGGTAGTTACTCTTTATGGCAGTAACAGAAGGAAATATATGAGAATTTTTAACATTTATTAATTCATGCAAATTAAAATTTTATTCAAAATAAAACAAGAATGTGATGAAATCTATATATGTATACAGGTTTGCTATATTTGTTTTGAATCGCTTAGATAACGAATCTTTAATCTGAAGGCTTCATTATTAACTATAAAATTAGCTGCATTTGCATGAAGCCATCGAATTGGTGCTTCTTTCAAACGATTATCGATTAGCTCCGGTAAATTTTGATTTTTACCTTTATTTGAGGGATGCTTCACAGGTACATCCTTTCGCACCTGCAAGCAAACAAATAAAAGAATTGCAATAAACTATACTTCTATGCTTCCAATATACAATATAAAAGATCAGTGCAGATTCAAAAATTCAGTAAGCATGAATGATTGAAATATTCTGGTGAAGGTGTAATTAGCTCAATTCGGGATGGTAATATTTGGTATTCATAAGATCATGTAAAAATTCACATGTAACTTTCATATGATTGCGCAACATTCGTGATAATGATGTGACAGTGTTGATAATAGTGAAAGGGTGAGGAATAATAAAGAAAAGCTATCAATCACAACTGATAGCCGCTATTTGAAATAATCATTAAAAAAATAAATTACTTCAGCATAGTACTGTACTCTTCCCGGATAGTCATCATAACGATCACAAACGTGTTTCACCAGCCCATTGTAGCCAGTTTGGCCAATTTTCAATAGAATCCAATGTTTCGTTTCATTCTGATAATAACAACCTGAACTTAAATACTCGTTATTATCTACAAATACATTTTTAATATTTATGAAATTTATTATTACTAAAGTAAATGAATGAATACACCTGTAATCCACCGACCACTTTCCAGGCAAAGCCACTGAAAATAATCCTGTCTGAATAATTCACCCACATGATACTGTGTATCGTTTACTATACATCGAGGTTCTGAAATCGGAACACATCAAGCGGTTATTAGGCTGTTCATAAGAATGAAGAAATCCGAGAATTCGTCAAATCTCCTGTATAAATTACATGCTTTACCTTCCTCATATTTAAGCCTGAATGTATCGTAGCTACAGCTAAACCAAAAATCATCAACAGTTTTATTATCACCAGCCTGAATTAACATCTTCTCGGATCGATCGCTACCTTGACAGCCCAGAAATTTTGACTGATTACTGCAAATGATCAATTTGTTTAGTGTTTTATAAGCAAATCAAATTCCTCGAATTATTTAAAAAGAATTATAAGCATTCATTAATAATAAATTTAACAACAACAAAAAAAATGTATACCCATCCTTTCCATCACAACTATACATCCAAGTATTATCATCGAGCCATTTCTCACCATTTCTCCTACATCCACCACTCCAATCACGACAATCGCAATCATCTGTGATATTTCTTATCACATATAATATTGTACCAATAATAATAATAATAATAATAATAATAATAATAATAA